TCTTACGAAATGTCTCAAATATAGAGAATAATTCAGACCTAGCTTTCATAAAAAATAATCAAGTCACACGAGAATATTCATCTACAAATATCACAAAATAAGGATATTTATTAGATGAAATATTCTTTATTGGACCCCATACATCAGAATTTACTAACTTAAATGGACTAGATACACGATTATGAACTCTAAACTGAAATGACACACCATGATACTTACTAAGTTGACAAGCTTCACAAGACAAAGATGACACATAACTAAGACTGAAAACTTGACGCTTCAGATTTTGGAGAGATGGATGTCCAAGACGACAATGCCATTGAAAAGGAGACAACGAGGTTTGTAGAGCCGGGTAGGTGAATCAAAGTCAAGGTAATATAGACCATCAGCTTCATGCCCTATACCAATCTTCCTCTTCGTCTTGAGATCCTAAAAGACACAATAACAGGGATAAAGGTAACAGAATAATTGAGAGAATGAGTAATCTTGCTAATGGAAAGTAAACTAAAAGGAAACTGAGTAACAAATAACACAGAAGGTAGAGACATATCAGGACTCAAGTGAGTAGTTCTCAAACCTGAAACATTAGTTATGTGGTCAAACATGACTGAGTAGTTCTCAGTCATGTGGTCAGAAGCGTCAGAATCTATGATCCAGGGACTGCGAGTGGAGGACAATAAACAAGTGAAAACATTACCTGATTGGACAAAAGTAACAGTGGAGGAAGATGGGACAACTTGTTGTTGGGACAAAAATTGAGCATACTCCTCTCGTGTAATAGTAACCAACCCAGTGTCTTATTTGGGTTCCATAAGTGCAGCAAATGAAAAATAAAATCACTAGATCAATGAACCGGACAAGAATCACCTACTGCACTGCTGAACCGAACCAAAGGAGTCCACTGAACCGTTGAACTAGACCAAAGGAGTCCATTGGACTAGTGAACCAGATCAGAGAAATCCACTGGACTGCTGAACCGAAAATAAAACAGAGGGAACCGGCCTGAACTGACTTAAAATTGACTGAACCGGTCTAAATCCTACTGAACCGGGCCTAAAAGGGTTAGATCGACTTGAAAACCTACTGAAATTGCTTGAAGACCTTCTGAACGGGATGGGGAAACTGAAAAATCTGCTGAACTAGCTTCAAAACTACTGAATCAACTGGAAAAGATGCTGAACCATCCGAAAAAGGTGATGAACCGGTCGGAAAGAATGCTAAATCGGATGAATTGAACTGGAATGGACCAAATCGGGACTGAATCGGCCTAGAATGGACCAAACCGGGACTGAACCGGTCTGGGTCTTGGGCTGGATCGATTTTGGTTTGGATCTTGGGCTCGACCGAGTTTTACTTTGTCTTCTTCGTCTGGTTAGGGTTCCAGAGGACCCTTTTCTTTGGTTGTGCCTCACCACCAACAACAGATGAGAAACCACAACAACAACACCACCACCACGACAACACAGATTACCACCACTAAAACCCTCTTCACGTTAATGGCGATGTACAATCAACAAACACCAATCGACGAACAACACAACATCGACGGCCAACGAACAACAGCAACAACCACCAATCACCAACGTTGACTACCAACGATCAACAGCAACAACCAACAATCAGATCACACCAGTCGAATACACCAATCGACTGCCACCAACAATCAGACCACACCAGTCGACGGCCAATGATCAGACCAAACCAGTCGAATACAACGTCGACTGCCACCAACGTCGACTACCACCACTACCGGACAAAACAACCAACGTTGACCAGCACAACACAACAACACCACCACGACGATGAACAGAGACCACACGATGAACAATGTTAATATATTTAGAATCGTTCGTGCTCTGATACCATATTAAGTTTTGGAAAATTAACATAATATTTGAGATAATATTTAGGGAAAAACAGAGAGAGGTTAAAAACTTAACCTAGCTCTTATACATCACTTGTATTTATAGTTAACCAACAATAATAAGAATTATACATACACCCTCTTACTATTAATAATTTACACATACTACCCTACTATTCTTAACAAAATTCATTTTTATTCACCATCAAGAGTTGAATTAAAAAAAGAAGTGAGGAGAGAGGGTTCTTTTATAATCGACAGGCTTGAAATGTCTGAATTCGAGAGGAATGTTGAGTTTGGTAGGAGCTATGGGATGACTGTTGCAAAGATAGTATAGGCCATCCAAGAATCACTAATTTCCCACCATTTTAGAGAAAGGATTTTGGAGAGTTTATTTGAGCACTATGGGAGATTGGTGGATGAAGAAATGGCTATACAAGAGATTAGGCCAGCTGCTTTTGTTCTTGTTCTTAGAAAATTATGACTAGAAAAATGCAGGAAAACTTTTCAGAAATTGTAACATGCATGGTAAGATTTATGCACCATCTGACGTGGCACAATCCCAACCATCGAATATTTGATAAATTTTGTGGGACCTACTAATCTAATAATTTATGTTGAGGTGGTGCAAGCAAGGTGGTGTGTGTAATATTGTTATTTATTATATAATGCTATTGGAACAAAAAAAAATTAGTCTTTTGTTGTATTTTAAGTGCTTGATGGATTTAGAGCAATTGATGTGGGTTCTGACGCATCATACCTGGTAAGCACATTGCACAAAACTCAATCTTAGCTCAAGAAATGGTCCATCAGTTGAAGAAAAAGAGAGGCAAAGGTGCATTGATGATAATCAAGGTAGATATGACAAAAGCCTTTGATAGGGTGGAGTGACCCTTCCTATTGCACATGCTTAATCTCCTAGGGTTTCCACCACATTTCATAAGCTTAATCCAGCAATGCATCACCATTGTATTATTTTTTATTCTTGTGAATGGAGCACCAATAGATAGATTTAACTCTCAAAGGGGACTTAGGCAAGGAGAGCCCTTATTACTTTTTCTCTTTATCATTGGTACTGAAATCTTGTTTAGATTGTCACATAGGAAAGCATCACATGGCAAAATAAAAAGAATCAAGTTGGCCAGAAACTGTGAAGCTATCAACCATCTGTTAGTTGCTGATGACCTCTTGATATGTGGAAGAGAAAAAAAATCTGCAGCAAGAGCTATGTCTGAATGTCTCACACTTTTTGAAGAATGGTTAGGACAAGCCAACAAGGATAAGCAAGGATATTTTATATCAACAATGCACAATCAACATCCATTATGCAATGTAATCCCACATGCTACCAAAAACATTGTGCCAACAGATGGATGTAAAGGTAAGGAATTTTTGGTGAGGTCACACTGAGGACATACAGGTTATGAAGATTAAATACTGGGACTTTATCTGTAGACCCAAATTATCAAGGGGGTTGGGTTTTCAGAAAACACATGACATGAATCAAGCATTACCTTCAAAGCTAGGATGACAGTTACTCTCTAACAGCCCAAGACAGTGGGTAACTCATCTTAAGACTCACCCATCTGGAAACAAATTCTTGATTGCAGAAGTACCATAGCAAATGGAGCTTGTTATCTGGTGGCGAATGAAAATTCAAATAATATCTGGACAGAACCATGGGTCCCTAACCTACCCGCATTCAGAGTCCAATTGGAATATGACATAGAAGACCCATTAGTAAGAGTTGCTGAGCTGATACACCAAGACACACATGAGTGGAATATGGAACTTCTCCACTCCATCTTCAATCAGCAAACTATTCAAGGCATCAGGAAGATAAAGATGTCTATATTCTCAAGAGAAGATCAAATGACATGGATTCCTAATATATCTGGATGCTTTGAAACTAAGTCTACATATGCACTCCAAAGATAGTACATGGATAAAACAGGCCACTACTAGGATAAGTCTGACTGGAAGAAGCTCTGGCACACTCCTTTGCATGAAAGACATAAATTGATGCTGTGGAGAAAGGTTACTCACAGTATTCCAACAAAGAGCCTTCTAGCAAGTAGATTTCCAATCCCAGATGTCTTTTGCCCCATGTGTGGCCAATGCATTGAAATAGACACCCATATTTTCTGCGTCTGCCCACTCCCAAGAATGATCTGGTTCCCACTCCCAAGAATGATCTGGTTCTCTAAATGGGGATTCAGAACTGATACATTTTCACATATCACTATGCAAGAGTGAATTCATAATGTTCTTAATCCTACCCTACTCTTTGGTCAATCTAGCCCAACGGCAAATCATCTTGCACTATTTGCTTCAAGTCAAGCCACCACCATTTGGAAATGGAGAAACAAGACACATTTTCAAAAGGCTAAAATAGTACCACAAGAAGTAATGAATGAGATTCTGACCCTCTATGTTGAATTTAGTGAAGTTAGGTCATAATCCTCAGCAATTAACGCTCTAGCTATATAAGTGCCTAAATTGCACAACCATCTCTGGTCCCCTCCACACGAAGGGGGCATTAAAGTTAGCTTTGATGCGGCAATTGATAATCTGGGATCTTGTATTGCAGCCATTGCTAGAGATGAGGCAGGGGAGATACTGGGAGCAGAGGTGGCCCTTGAAGATAACATAGGCCCTCTTATAGCCGAATCACTTGCAGCAAAACTGGCTATGTTCTGAGCTCACTCAAAGGGTTGGAATTATGTAAGCATTGAAAGGGATTATCAGACTTACACACTCAACCATGTAAAACCAAATTGGTCAATTCTGCATACCATTGACGATTTAAAGCAGCTGCTAAAGGAACACCCAGATTGGGGAGTGAATCATGTTTATAGGGGTGTAAACAATACAACACATGCTCTTGAAAAACGGCGGCTTGTCAAGAAATTCATTGCATCATTACCAAGAACAGACCTCCCTGCTACAATCAGAGAGTGTGGCCATGGAGGCACTGGCTAGGGAAAAAGGAAATTAGTAGTATTAGGGAATTTTCTTTTGGTCTTTTAATAGTTGTATTTACCATTAACCTTTTTATCCCTATATTAATGAGCATATATATATATATAAAAGACTACTAGTGATATCTCACGACTAATGTCACTGTTTGCCTGTTTGCCTGTTTGCCTGTTTGCCGAGCTATGACAATGTGTGTCTTGAAGTACGTGTACAACTACAGTGTGTATATAATGAGAGTGTGTGTATGTGCGTGAAACTGTGTGTTATGGATTGGGCGTTGGGTTTGTGAAATTTGTTTTTTAGGGAGGAGGGGGAATATGCTCGGAAAGAGAGAGAGAGAGAGAGAGAGGCAGAGGTTGAAGATTGAAGAGTGAAAAGGAAAATCAAATTAGGGAAAAAAATGCCCAAAGCCTTGGATTTTATACTATTCTTAATGACCCACATGGTTTGTCAAAACCAATCCGGTTCGAACGACTTTCTAAAGAACCCCCTGTTCATCGGATTATAAATAAATAGGGAAGGGATGATGTAACAGGATAATGAATGAGAAAGAAAGTATTCCGTTCATCAGAAATCTTCACAACTTAAACCCATAGAAGTATAAGGATTATTAGCAATCCTATTCATGTCCTTCGGGAATCTACAAAGAGTTAGCTATTGAAGTATTATCAACAGGTTGATAAAAAAAAAATGAGAATCTATTCATATACTGTAGATTTCCATACTTGGTGTTGATAAGATAGGTTTATACATCAACAGCTTGAGTGTGGTATGGTGTGTTTTATTTCTCTTCGATTATTCACGGTGTTCAATCTGTCTTTCTGGCTCTTATATTTTCGTGTAAGATAAATCTCTAATATACATCTCTAGCAAACCAATAGTCGCCGGAATTGTACCTTCAAGCATATTATCTACACCATTGAGCTCTGCCAATTCGAGAGAAAGCACCGACGAACCACCGGTGACAGGTAATCTTTGTGCCTCCCTCCCTTTCTCATCTCTCCCTCTTTCTCCCTCAAGCAAATCTCACACACACCCAATGACACCACAATCAGCCTCCCCACCCTCTACCTGTTTGAGAAAATGCCCGAGAGGATTTAGTATTACTTTCCTGGCTATCCCATACCATTAATATGTGGCATGCGATAAGGCATCAAATTCATATAGTCATATTTTGGATTTAGTATTACTTTCCTAGTCATTTTTAAGTGAAATGGTTAATGGTTAGATGTTTGCTGTTATGCCTTATTCTTTATCCTTGGCTGTATTCACGCCAAAAGAATGCATTTTGCTTTTGTTAGTTTTGTCACAGAATATGTGAGGTTGTTTTCTCTTTCAAGTCAATCACTATGCACCTGATTAGTTTAGCTGAGGATGAATTAAAAATAGAACTTCAAGGCGTCCAGTATTCCTCTGTCTCAAATGCCACTAAGCAGAATTCTGTTGAGGACATGGAGGCTGGAGGCGAATCTCTTCCTGATTTCCAACAAATTGCTGAGGATGCTGCCAACATTTCCAAGGTGGTGATGCCACGTAAAAAGATGAGGCTTTATGAAGCAATGCAGGTCAACAAGCTAACTTAAACCTCTCTATCCAAAAAAAGGCTTCTGATGATGTTCTCACATTAGTAGTGTCATCTTTTCTCCTGTCTGCACAGTTAAAAAGACATGGCATCAACCAGTACACAATCTCTCAGAGAGTATTACTTTCAGCCAACAGCTTTGTTAATGAACAATACCCAATTAAGGTGACCCAGTTGATTTTTTTTATCATATAGTAAGTCAAATCCAAAGTTGAGGTAAGCTTTGACTGTGTCAATTTGAGAAGCAAAAATATGAAGGTTGATAGTATATCTGAACTGGAGACTTGGTTCTTCTCATCTTTCAATCTCACTGAACAGCACTAGTTTTGATCAGATACTGACAGAAGGTCATTCAGAAAATAATATCACCAACACTGTAAATTTCAACAGACACTGTTCTTCTGCCAATGCTGCTATACTAATACAAAGGCTGATCCAGTTTACAATATGCAGCTAGCAGAAAATGTAATTTTTTCTTTATTAACCGAGAAACAAACACAAAGTGTATGCTATTCAGTGAGATTGATGGAGTGGCAATTAGTTCAAAGCCAGAAAAGGGGAATGCAAGCATTATGCTTTCAGTTATCCAAGCAATCACATTCTGATTAATCTATTGCATATACTTTTTATATTGTCATGCTCTTAATTAATTTTGCTGATTGTCATTAATTTAGGTTATCCCGAACAAGTAATTCAAATGGAGGAACCGGAGAAGTCTACTCTGATGATTAAATGCTTATCTTGTTGCATTTTTGTCACTAAATTGATTGGAAACTTTTTTTGTACAACTTAATAGCAACGTGGATGTAAAATTTTCATGGACAAGGTAGTTTTCTTTTGTTACAATTGTATAAGCAGTAATGCTAATAACTTGTCTTTGAGCATATGGGGCACCATTTTGTTCACAGTAGATTGCCTTGGATGGAAATGTGCCAATCCATTTACCTTCTTTGGTCATATAAGGTATTGTTAGTAGCTTGACTATCTATTTTTCATCTAATAGAGAATCCCTGAATATTTACAATTCAGCCTGGTACATATTGCTAGTGCTTATTTATTTTTTATAATTTTGCTTCTTGTAATTCTGTTTTATTCATAAATAAAATTTTCTATTTTGATTAAAAAAAAAAATGAGCTGGGTTTTATTATAAAAAAGTATATTAATTATTATTAGTGACGTTTATTTAAACCAAGGAAATCAGTTATTCAAAAATAATAATTACTGATGTTTAAATAAACACCATAAAATAGCTCCGGTAACCGGAATTTTACAATGAAGTCGTCGATTAAATAAGTGCAGCTTCAACATTTAGCAAACGTCACTTTAGTTTTTGTGGCGTTTAATTATTCATCGGTAATTTTTTTTTTCGACGGCGTTAACAACAAACAACAATAATAATATTTTGCGGCGTTTATTTACATTTTAGCGACATTTATTAAACTCCGGTAAAAATCTTTTTTCTTGTCGTGCTTATTGAAAACATGGTGTTTAACGTCAATAGTGTTGCTCTTATTAGGTTAATCATCACCACATTAATATAATATAAGCTACAAAACATGGTGGGTTGTTATTCACATGTCTTCTTAAATCCTTGTTACATGTATAGTACAAAACAACAGGTCCTTAATAGCTCTAGAGTACAATAAGATACTAAGACCCTATTTGGATTGTATCTTAGAAACAAGTTTATTGTTTTGTGAAACCAAAAAATAAGTAAAAATCTATTTGGACAGACAATTTTTGAAAACAATTTCGAGAAAAAATGGAGAACAAATAACTGATTTTAGGAAACAACCTAAATATGTTTTGGGTTATTTTAGAGAAAAAAAATGAAAACACTGGAAAAGGGGGACTGTGCACTTAAACCTCTTAGGTATAAAAGCTTTTTTTTTTTTGCTTTTCTCTCTCCCTGGCTTTCTCTCTCTCCACTTCGACTCTCAGACGGAACGAATACACACACACAACGTCTTCTCCAACGATTCAAGGTCGTCTTCTCTGATGACTAAGAGCTCTCCGAGGAAACTAGATCTGTTTTTTTGTTTTGGATCTTGATTTTTTCCTGACAATTGCTTCGTATTTGCTTCTGGTGACTTCAAGATATGCTTCAACAAAGGGCTGAAATTTTCTTTTTTTCTTTTTGCATTTTATGAAGTTTAAAACATTGGAAATTTTTTTATATGAAATATTCAATGAAACATATTTTATTGTTTTCTATTCAGCAGAATTATTTTGAAATCATATAACTAAAACAAGTTTTTCGATACAAAAAAAAAAAAAACACACTTTTTTAAAACTCTTCTCAAAAACATATTTTTGAATACTATTTTCTGAGATGTAATCCAAATACGTCATAAGGTTCAGAGGTTTCTAGACATTTATTGAATATGAATAGTCTTTTTTGGATACTATTCATATGATTTACCCTATTTGATAGGAACTTCAATGTATTTTGTCCGTTGAATTTCATTCAATGCAAAGAGCCACCGCTAATCCAGTAATCCTACAATACATTATGTCTCCTTATTGATTCCCCATTTTAGGTCCAATAGTGTTGCTCTTATTAGGCTAATCACCACCACATTAATATAATATAAGCTACTAATAATAAAATATAAAATATAAAATAAAAATAATATAAGCTACAAAACTTGGTGGGTTGCTATTCAAATGTCTTTTTAAGTCCTTGCAACATGTATAGTACAAAACAAAAGGTCCTCACCAGCTCTGGAATACAATAAGAAACAAAGGTCCATAGGTTTCCAGACATTAATTGACGTTTCAATTGCTTTAGCTTTCCTCTTTTTCGATTCTCATGACATCTAGGTATGATTTACCAGCAACCTTGTGAGTAAATAAGCCTTTGAAGTAATCTACAACTCCTATTCTTTTGAACTTCGCTGGATTTTGTGGGGTAATCAGACTGGGAGCAGGACCGATATCTCCACCAAGTTTTGGGCTATAAAACGTGGCAATTGAGAGCCTTTCCTTTGCAGAATTTACAATTGCCCGATGTTCAATGCTATGGTAAGTGCCATTGGTAACCATCTACAAACAAACCAAGAACCAGATAGCAAGTTGAACAACATAAAACATATATATAAATGGTATTGTTTAGTATCGACTTTTAGAATCCTAACTTTTTTGTTTGTCATAACTTAGACCCAATTGGGTCATAAAAATTACCAACAAAATTGTAATTTAAGACTAAAAGATATTGTGATTGTTGGGTAAGTCTGACGCGTAGTCTTTAAGTCTGGACGTTTTAGGGTAGAGAATTTCAGTTTCTGTCAATATTTGGGAATTATATTACCTCCAAAATGTCGCCAACATTGATGATAAATGCATTAGGAAGTGGTTTAACAAGAATCCACATCCCATCTTTCTTTATTTGAAGACCTTCCATTTCATTAAGTTGAAGGAGGATAGTAAGGCCAACGGCATCAGAATGAGGCTTGGCGCCTATGACTTTTTCTGGTTGTGGGCATGGAGGATAGTAGTTCATCCTGATTGATTGCATCCCTTCTTTGAATAACTCCATAAGATCTTCAGGGTTAATTTTCAGAGCTCTAGCTTGCAAGTCAAAGATCTTCAAAGTCAGATTTCTCACTTCTACTGCATAAGCTTCTATGGTTTCTCTGCATGGAAAGACTTGGTCATTATCTCAACACCAACAATAGGAGTACTAAATAAGAGTCACCCTTTCGAGTTTATTCAACCAAGTTCTTGAATTCACCATTAATCCTGGTTAAATATAACCTCCTTTGTGATTTTGTGTTTCTGAATAGTCCCTCAAGTTTGAGTTTGTTCGTACGTGGTGATTGTAGTATCGTACGGATGGCAATTGTATTCTCAGCGTTCAATTAACCATGGGGAGTTTGTGAAGGAGCATCATGTAAATTCATGAGAGAAAGAGAGAGAGATCAGAGAGGGAAACCTGAGAGGGAGAGGGACCATGGGAAATATGTGAGGTTTCCTCAAGTGGGTTGGTAGGGTAGTTAAGTAAAACATGTCTCCCCAATCAAGTATTTGCTCCTCAGAAACAACGAAAGTTTGCCCATATCCATCAATATCTCCATGTTGTTGACGCAACTTCTTCTTCTCTTCCATTGGGAGGTTAAAGAATTCTTGAATCTCCAACTTCACTTTATCCAACAATGAAGACCTCACTCCATGGTTTATCAACTGCAATACAAATTGTGAAAAAACAATAAGATACTGGTGTTTTCGTAGCCTCAAATGTAAATAACGTAACATATAACACATCTAAGTTAACTGCTTATGTAAATGTTAGCTATTATGCTAATATAATATTACATTTTTCTTACTCTTAATCATTTAAAATTCAGCACCATTTCGTTTGGTTCTTATTTAAACCCTATTTTTTTAACGAGCTTAATACTAGGAGTATGCAACTATCCGAAAATCCGACAAGTAGAATTGCTTTTCAAAGAGTACCTGGAAGAAACCCCATTCTTTGCATGCGGAATCAAGCTTCTGCAACTCTAACATCACATTATCTCCACAAAGCAAGCGCTCCATGTCAATGATCGGGATATCAAGAGGTGAAGTGGCGTAGGACGTGAATGGAGGGTCTTGGTCAGGCTGTACATAACGTTTTGGAACTGTTTTTAATGATTCCTTGGCCACCTCCTGAACGTAAGGCACAACGATGGAGCCTCCAAACGTTGCTAGATTTGCTTCCATTTCTAAGAGCTTATGGATGGTGAAAATCTCTCTCTCTCTGTGATGTCTATGCATGTTTCTCTGTGTATATATAGAAAATCAACATTTCTTTTCTGCTGCTTGGACATAATAGTCAACTCCCTCTAATTTTAGTTTCAACAATTTACTTCCTTGAAGTTTGAATATTTGCAAATTAAGTCAAGCAGTTAACTGAAAAATGACAGAAAACATTCATTTGTAAATCATATGATCTCAAATTCTATGAAAAGACAAGATCGCCCTTCACATCATTTTGTCTTGAAAAGAAGAATGGAGCATTTTTTCGAAGTGAAGAAAAAATTTTGAATTTAAGGCAATTTTCACTTTTCAATAAATTTGAGATCATGTGACTTAATTTCTATTATTTTTCATTTTCAAAACTAACAATTTAAGTAAATTGAAAATTGTACAAACTTTAAGGGGCAATTTGTTAAAATTCAAACCAAAAGGACTTGATTGCAACTTGATTCAAACTTAAAGAGGATATTTTATAATTAATCCAAAGTAATCAAGTGGTGGGTTGGGTTCTAAATGTTTAGTTTTTGAGAGAGAATCTGCCAGACCAGTAGGCAGCAGATGCTGGAATGCCTTCTAATTTTCATTTCAATTTTGTCAGTTTGTGAGAGAATCTTCCAGTTAGCTGGCGGTGGGATGCCCTCTAATTTTGTTACATGAACTTAAAAAATAGACTTAAAAATTAAATTTGATAATTACGATCATTGATTTTACTGTAGGTCTTAGCATTTATTGGGACTTACTATCTATTCAATGATTGAGATTATCAAGTCTAGTTTTTAAGTTCATCTAGTATTACTCGTTAGTTTTTTATCATGGTTTCAAAATATTATTGGTTCAATTGCGCATGCAGTGTTGCAGGAATTAAGAATCATAAGCTTGTGTTAGACCATTTCCAATAAAGACTTAAAACCTTACCAAAATATGAGTAAAAAAAGAGAGTAAACAGTTTAATTTGGTATAGATCTTTCTAACGGAGAAACTCAAATTTAAAAGAAGGCAAATCTAAATTTAAATGAGACTAAAATATGCTACTGTTTTGATCAACACTTCCAAGGTCTTCTGCCTATCATTCTTAGGACGTTTTTCCTTTGCCTTGGAAAAGGTTCATTGTTCAACTAGTTATAAAAAATCTGCAAATATACTTTGCGTCAAACTTTTATTTGCTGAAATAAATATCTTAACAGATTTAAAAGAAAAAATCTAACTACAAGTCAATCCATATCTTATTAGAGACACTCCAGCTTGATGATCGCAGGCATTTCAAAAGTAATACTTTTTGAAGGTTCATCATGTTCCAGGGTCGTGGAATTGGCTTCCCCTCGATGATCTCAAGCCTGTCGGATGAATTATCCCCAGCTGATGTGATCCTATAAGGCCCCTACCAATTGTCCCTGGGCTTTCCTTCTGTAGGCTGCTAATGATTTTCGTATGGACCAGATCCCCGACCCTTAATACCTTTGGGCGGACCTTTCGGTTATGAGCCCAGGCCATCTGTTATTGGTAGGATGTCATTCTTATGGCTGCCGACTTCATTTTTTTTCCGGTGTCAGTTCCAAGTCTTTGGCGATGTATTCCTCGTTTCTACCACTGTCCGCGAGTTTGGACCTAAGAATGTAAAGACATTCTTAGAACATTCTCAGCCTCATTGTTGAGATGGAAACAAAACTTGAGGCATAGACATTCTTACGACAAAGTTCTACTTCAACATCTGAAGAACACAAATTTAACCTGGAGATAGAACTTCAATGAATTCATAAGGACGGCAACGAGTTTATATTGAGTTTTCACTAGACTCAAACTAATTTGTGATGAGGTTGCTACAAGTAAGAAACCATGATCGGACTCGAACAAAGTTGTGAGTATAACGAATGGCCTTGGAAAAAACTTTGACCATCGTATCAATGGTATTATGGAGAAGCCACCCTTTTCCTATTACTCATAGTTTATTCCATCCTTGACAGGATATGAGACAAGAAATAGAGTCTCATATCCTATATTTCGATCATCACATTCATGTTCTTACACATTTGTTTTTATAAATTCAATGTAATATTATATTCACACTTACATGAGCGCCAATGTTTTGTTTATTTATGTAGTTATTGATATGGGGACGTTTAACACGCATTCGTCCATAGAGATTAATTCCATGTGTCCCTTTAGCCCATAGAATAGTTAATGGAGGACATTTACATGCAGAAGACCTCCCACCACATGATGTTACTGTTAGTTTTATAAACTCTATTTTTTTTAAGAGGTATTTTTTTTTATTTTTGGGTATTGAAAAGTCATGGTATTTGAAGTGATATATACCAGAAGTGTCCAGAATATTTTTGAGAAGTCTATTCATGTATTTGGGAGACTTATTCATGTATGGTTGCATGGAAAGTTGAACAGTTTTTTCTTGGGGATAGTCAGCCATAAAGTGGCCAAATTTAGAGTGTTTTGGCTAGGAAAAATCAGTATAAAAGGGGCCGGAGTTACTGCCCAAAATAGAGAGTCTCTGTGCAGAAAAATAGAGGAGGACATGCTGCCTGAAAAAAACAGCAGCTTGTTCATGAGCAGAAGCTCTATTTTTTTGTATTTTCTTGAGTGTTTACTGCTGAAAAATTCTGATAAGTTGCTCCCCATGTATTCCTTGATATTGTGATCATATTTGATGAAATATAGAGATGTTTCTTGAGTGAAATTATTGTGGAAGTGGAGCAGTTTTTCATCCTCTATTTTTGTGCTCTTTAGTAGTTTTTTTTTTTTTTTTTGCTTCTAATTCCCAACAAAAGTGGTATCAGAGCAGGTTGTTATGGCTACTATGAGTAATGTGCTTCAACCCCAATTTCTCAAATTGGGAAAAGATAACTATGGGAATTGGAGTATTCAAATTAAGGTGTTGTTACAATCGCAAGATCTTTGGGACATTGTTGAAAAAGGTTACATCGAGCCGACTACGGAGGAAGAGCAAGCGCTTAATGATGCTCAAAAGGCAGTGCTTAAGCAATCAAGGAAGACAGATAAGAAGGCCTTATTTCTTCTTTACCAATGTATTGACGATAATACTTTTGAGAAGATTTCTTCCGCGACCACTTCGAAGCAAGCTTGGGAAATTTTGAAGAGTTTGCATAGAGGAATTGATAAAACAATTCGGGTTCGTCTTCAAATATTGCGAGGTGAATTTGAAAGTTTGAATATGAATGGAGCCGAGTCAATTTCGGAGTATTTTTCAAGAACTTTGGTGATTGTGAATCAAATGCGAAGGTATGGAGAAGATATTGATGACGTTCGTGTTATTGAAAAAATACTACGAACCTTAACTCCAAAATTTGAGCATGTTGTTGTAGCCATTGAGCAGTCCATGGATTTCAAGACTACAAGTGTTGATGAATTGATGGCGACATTGGAAATACATGAGCAGCGTATTAATAAAAAGACTCCAAATTCTCTTAAACAAGCTCTTCAATCCAAGTTTTCTTTGAAAGATGAAAACAGAGAATTTCAAGGTGGTACATCTCAAAGAGAAAGAGGTAATGGAACACGAGGTAAAGGTTATGGCAATCGAGGAAGAGGCTACGAAGATCGTGGAAGAAGCTACGCTAATAGAGGAAGAGGTGGAAGAGGTCAATTCACTAATGATACAAGAAATCAAAATTCTTATGGTTCGAGAGGAAGAGGACGAGGAAGAGCAAGAGGTAATTACAACAATCAAAGTTTTGACCAGAGAAATGTTGAATGCTTCAATTGTCACAAGTTTGGGCATTATAGTAATGAATGTTGGGCAAGTAAAAATGTTGAAGAACATGTGAATTATGCTGAGAAATCAAGTAATAAAGCGGGATCTACTTTGTTGCTGGCCTATGATGGATCCGAGGAAGATAATGGCAACGTGTGGTTTCTTGATTCCGGGCAAACAACCATATGTGTGGCCAGATGCATATGTTCGTAGAACTTGATGAAGTGGCGCAAGGCAAAGTTACTTTTGGCGACTCCTCCAACATTCCAGTGAAAGGCAAAGGTAAAATTCTTATTAAGCTCAAGGATGACAATCATGATTTTATTTCGGATGTCTATTATGTGCCGGATATGAAGAATAGCATTTTGAGTTTAGGGCAACTTTTAGAAAAGGGCTATGATATTAGCATGAAGAATCTCCACCTTACAATTAAAGATGCTCGTGGTAATTTGATTGCTAATGTGAAAATGTCCAAGAATAGAATGTTTCCTTTGAATATTCAACATGATGCGATGAGATGTTTGAATGCTATTATTAAAGATGATTCTTGGTTGTGGCACTTGAGACTTGGACATCTTAATTTTGGTGGCTTGAAGCTTTTATCTAGCAAGAAAATGGTGAAAGGTCTACCCTACATAGATCATCCGGATGAGTTATGTGAAGGGTGTATTCTTGGCAAGCATCAAAGATTAAGCTTCTCAAGAGAAGTCAAGTGGAGAGCATCACGACCATTGGAGCTTGTGCACACCGATGTTTGTGGTCCTTTGAAGCCTATGTCAAATGGTAACAATTGTTACTTTCTTACTTTTATTGATGACTATAGCCGGAAGACTTGAGTGTATTTTTTAAGAAGGAAGTCCGAAGTGTTTGAAGTTTTTAAGGAGTTCAAGAATCTTATTGAGAAGCAAAGTGTTATTTTATCAAGAGGTTCGATCAAGGTGGTGAGTATAGTTCCGATTTATTTGAAGACTATTGCAAGGAGCATGGAATTGTGCATCAATTCACGCCAAGCTATACACCTCAACTGAATGGAGTTGCGGAAAGAAAAAATAGAACTATTCTTGATATGGCTAGAAGCATGTTGAAAGGAAAGAGATTGCCTAGAGAATTTTGGGCCGAAGCTGTAGCATGTGCAGTGTACTTGTTGAATCGATGTCCAACCAAAAGTGTTCGTTTTAAGACTCGGAGGAAGCTTGGTGTTCATTCAAGCCGAGTGTAGCCCATCTTAGAGTTTTTGGAT